TCTCTTATTGTGTGTGTGTGTGTGTGTGTGTGTGTGTGTGTGTGTGTGTGTATGTATGAGAGACTCTCTCTCCCCCATCTCCTCCCCGCCAAACACACACACACCTCGTTCCTGCCCACTTTCTTTCCTCTCCCCACATTTGCTCCCAGGTGACATAGTCATACTCATCTTATGCAAACACAGACCTCATAGTCCCTATACTTGCTCTGTCTGGTTCTCCCTCCCTGTCCTTCTGGAATAAGAAAATAAATACTTATATTTCAAAAGACCCTTGTAACGCATCCCCCTTTAAAAATCACCTGGTGACCACCTCTGGTGGCTCTCGCCTCCCCTCTGTTCTTTACATCTGTTAAAATTGTAGCCCACCCTTCCAGGCTTATATCAGCTATGCCTCCAGCATGAACCTTTTTCTGACATCCTCCTCAATGTGTGGCCTTATGTCCAGTCCTCATCCTTATCTTCATTCTCCCCTGGCTGCCAGTGTTTGTGAGCTTACCTGAGGCAGTTGTCCAATTGGGTTTATTCATGTTTGATTGATTGCACTGCTCAGGAGGTGCTTTGATATACATGATTTCATTGGGCAGAAGAGAAAGGGTATTTGCACCTGGAAGACTTGAAGTTGAAGCCTCTAGGCCAAACACCGAAGGTGAACCTACACCCCGAGGAGCCTGAAAGCGGGGACCACTCTCTGGCTCTGCTCAGTGTGTTGGTTCCTGTCTCCGCAGATCTCAACTACTGCACCCACCACTCCCCGTGCAAGAATGGGGCGACGTGCTCCAACAGTGGGCAGCGGAGCTACACCTGCACCTGTCGCCCAGGCTACACTGGTGTGGACTGTGAGCTGGAGCTCAGCGAGTGTGACAGCAATCCCTGTCGCAATGGAGGCAGCTGTAAGGTGAGGCCAAGGCCAGAGCAGGAAGGCAGAGTTCTGGCCAGGTGGTACCCAGGCATCCCTGTGCCAAGTAGCCAGTGGATGTGCGGCCACAGGCAGGCACTGTGGGCAGGTGGGGCCTAGCCACCAGTCATGCATCCCTGCCCCCCAGTGTCTGACTTCAGCCCCTTTCTACTCTTTCTCCAGGACCAGGAGGATGGCTACCACTGCCTGTGTCCCCCAGGCTACTATGGTCTGCACTGTGAACACAGCACCTTGAGTTGTGCCGACTCTCCCTGCTTCAATGGGGGCTCCTGTCGGGAGCGCAACCAGGGGGCCAGCTATGCCTGCGAATGCCCCCCCAACTTCACTGGCTCCAACTGTGAGAAGAAAGTGGACAGGTGTACCAGCAACCCGTGTGCCAATGGTGCGTCCTGTTGCCTTGCTAACTTGGTGGACTGGCCCTGGGGCCAAGAGAACCTTCTGGTGAGGGAGGGTCACAAGAGGAGAGACACCTTGTCTGTCACTCTGGGCAGGCTGAGACAGATCCCCATCTGCTCTAGATGGTGAAGAGCTTGCTTGAATCTGGGTGGCTTTGGAAGAGGAGCAGGTTAGCAGTGGGTTCAGGCCTTTGGAGGAGTAGTGTACACCCTGCCTGCTTTCCTTTCCTACTCCCATGTCCTGATCTTGCTGGGGTGGCCTCTGACCCTCCCCAGGGAGTCCTGGGCTAGAATGGACCTTGGAGACTTCGTGTCCCTCCTGAACGAGGCTAGCACGGTCAGAGCCCTGCTCCTAGAGGCCTCACGTTGCCCCATGGCCACAGTGAGCCTGGCATGGCGTAAGGCGTCTAGAATGTTCAGCATTTTGTGGGCCACCAAGAATGCTGGTTATCTTTGTCTCATTGGTCTTCTGGTGACCCTCCGTGAGGGTCCAGCACTGGGCAGGAGAGAAGCCTCAGGAGCTGGAGAGGGATTGGAAGGGCTGAGATGGAGTTTGCTCTCTGGCTTATCACTTAGTTAACTTCCTGGAGCCACAGTTTCTTCATCAGTGAATGGGAAAATACAGTCCCTGTCCTCTGTCTCTCACATGGTTGTGAAGATTAAGTGAAACAATGATGAAACATGTCTTTGAGCATTTCCTATACACCAGGCACATGCTCCTGCTTTCATATATCATCTTATTTAACGTCCACACATCTTCTATGGAGGGCATAGCATTATACTCCAATTTGACAGATGAGGAAACTGAAGCTTAGTAAAGCAACAGGTGCCAGATCCCCAGCTAGAGACAGACAGCTGAGATTCAAACCCACGCATACCTGTCTGGTTTTACTATAAGATGCTAGTAATTTTTATATACCAGCCCACTGAGGTATAGAGGACCAGGGTCATCCTCAACTCGAGGTCTCCTGACTCTTCATGCAGCGCTCTTTGTAGTGGGATCTGTAAATGCTGGCCGTGTTCCTGGAGACAGAAGGACCTGAGCTTGGAGCTCATTCCTGGGATGGGGCATCACCCTCTGCACTAGGGGATACCTGGTAAAGTGCTGACTTGTGCCCCGGTGTGTACCTACAGGGGGCCAGTGCCTGAACCGAGGTCCGAACCGCATGTGCCGCTGCCGTCCTGGATTCACAGGCACCCACTGTGAACTCCACATCAGCGACTGTGCCCGCAGCCCTTGTGCCCACGGCGGCACTTGCCACGACCTGGAGAATGGGCTCATGTGCACCTGCCCTGCCGGCTTCTCCGGCCGGCGCTGCGAGGTGCGGATCCCCACTGATGCCTGTGCCTCGGGACCCTGCTTCAACGGGGCCACCTGCTATGCTGGCCTTGCCCCCGACAACTTCGTCTGCAACTGCCCCTATGGCTTTGTGGGCAGCCGCTGCGAGTTCCCCATGAGCATGCCCCCCAGCTTCCCCTGGGTGGCTGTCTCCCTGGGCGTGGGGCTGGTGGTGGTGCTGGTCTTACTGTGCATGGTGGCAGTGGCGGTGCGGCAGCTGCGGCTGAGGCGGCCTGACGACGGCAGCAGGGAGGCCATGAATAACTTGTCAGACTTCCAGAAGGACAACCTGATCCCTGCCGCCCAGCTCAAGAACACAAACCAGAAGAAGGAGCTGGAAGTGGACTGTGGCCTGGATAAGTCCAACTGTGGCAAACAGCAGAATCATACATTGGACTATAATCTGGCCCCAGGGCCCCTGTTGCGGGGGACCATTTCTGGGAAATATCCTCACAGTGACAAGAGCTTAGGGGAGAAGGCGCCACTGCGGTTACACAGGTGAGCAGCACCTGGAGGCCCAGGGCCTGCCACGGACCCCCGTGTGGCACTGCCTGGGCTCCCCCAGGACAGGTGGGAGGCTGGCACCAGGCCCTTGACTGCTTTTAAGCAAACGGGGGTTCTTGCTGCTGACAGTGGATTAGGATTCACCAACAAGTTCTCTGCCAGGGTCTCTTTGTCCCCCCTTCCCAGTCATTCATTCATTCACAAATGCTAACTGTCCACGATATGTCTCTGGTGACTCCTGTCCTCCCACGGCGTGGCTTGTCAAATTGGCTTTTTCCAGGACCCTCTGGTCAGGTTGGGGGTCCTGTGGCTCTCATAGGGCCTGTTCCTAACTGTCCCCCAGCTGGCATTGGGCATCCCTAGTCCCCGTGTTTTCTCCCAGAGCCACCTCTGCCAGTTCCCTTTGGCTCACCAGGGTCCAGGTTAGCACCTCACCTCCCTCCAGCCCTCTCCCCACCCCTCCCTCACCAGCTTGTCTTGTGTTCTCTCAGTGAAAAGCCAGAGTGTCGGATATCAGCGATATGCTCCCCCAGGGACTCCATGTACCAGTCTGTGTGTTTGATATCAGAAGAGAGGAACGAATGTGTCATTGCCACAGAGGTGAGCGCTGGGTTCGCCTTCCCTTCTAACATGTCCCTTCCTGCCTTTAGGGGGATGAGAAAGTGGCTCTTGACCCTTGGGGCTGCTCCTGAAGGGTGGGTCAGCACCCCTCCTTGGCAGGCCGGGCTCTGTGGCTCTCAGATCCCTGCTGGCCTCGTTGCCACAGAGGGTGTGAAACAGGAGCTGCGGTGGCGAGCCGGCCCAGTCTCTTCCTGCTGTGTTAGTGCTGGGCTAGGCGGCCATGGCACCTGGCCAGCTCCCAGGCGCTGCTTCCCAGCTGCTGGTGGGTGAGGGTGGTTGACTTGTGCCCCTCCTACTCGCTGGCTTCCTTCACTGGCCCACCTCATGAGGACAGGCTCCCAGGCATGTTCATGTGTTGAGGCAGAAGACCAGGAGGCTGCCCCCCCTTCACCCCGCCCAGGGCAGCCATGGAGAGAGTGTTTGTACCCCAGGGTAACCCACTTTCCTGCTCTCCACATGCTCCCCAGGTATAAGGCAGGAGCCTCCCCAGCACATCCCAGCCTTGCCCCAGCAGCTGGACCTTCCTTCTGCATTGTTTACATTGCATCCTGGATGGAACATTTTTAATATGCAACGTGCTGCTCTCAGGAGGAAGAGGGAATGGCATGAACTGGACGGACTGTGAACTTGCCAAGAGATGCAGTACCCTTCCACATCTTTGGGTGTCTGTCTGGCATCAGATTGGCAGCTGCGCCAGCCAGGGGAACAGAGGAGAGGAGAGGTGCCACTTGGACCCATCCTGCCAGCAGTGGCCTTCAGAGGGCTCCTTTGGGGCTTTGGCCTGTTTTCCAGAGGGAGTGGCAGTGGTCCCTGGGGCCTGGAGCTGCTGTGGCCTCCACTGGCATCTGCGTTTCCAAAAGTGCCTTGGCCCAGGCTCCATAACGACAGCTGGGTCCAAATCAGAGAGAGAGGAGGCCAGCAAGGGCAGGTCCGTCTATGGGCCGGGAAACCATCTGGTGCAGCTCTTGGCAGGAGTGTCCCTGCAGGTGAGGTGAGCGCCCCAAGTGGGCGGAGCACTTTCTGCCCTGTGCCTCCAACTACTGCACGTGGGCCTTGCTCCTCACATGGCCCCAGTCTCTCCCTGGCCCAGGCCCTCTAGGCAAGGATACTGGTAAGCCTTACCTGGCTTCTACAGCCTCTGGCGTTGGGTGCCTCTGGGCTCCTGTGAGCAGACAGGTGGAGGGCCTGTCCCCTCTGCCAGTCAAAGGCACCAGGCCTAACTGGGGAGTTTAGGGCAGCGATGGTGGAAATCCCAGTGAGGGAGAAATTGGGTGCTGTCACCACTTAGGCCCTTTCCTCCCTCAAGCCCATTCCTACGGCCTTGAGCCTGGGCTCTGCCCACACCCACTACTGCCCTTAGACCACCCCTGAAGCCGATCTTCAGAAATCAATAATATGAGTTTTTATTTTGTTTGTTTTTTTGTAGTTTATTTTGGAGTCTAGTATTTCGATAATTTAAGAATCAGAAGCACTGACCTTTCTACATTTTATAACATTATTTTGTATATAATGTGTATTTATAATATGGAACAGATGTGTACAGGAGTTTATTACTTCCTGGGTCCTGTCTTTGTGATGGCAGAGTGGGAATCTTCTCCCCGTCCTCTGACTCCCCTTCTCATATTGCTGCCGGCTGCCCCCCTCCACCGGCCTAGAACCCCTAGGACCTGTGCATGCACTTGGGCTCCAGGCCCTTGTCCTCTTCCCGTCCTTGGGGAGCCCGGCCTCACCCTTCTCGTCCCCAGCCTAGGCCAGCTTCCTCTACCTGATGGCTTGAGGCTGGCTGCAGCTCCCCTTTCCCCTTTTATGTTCGCATCATTCCTTGGGGGATATGCCCTCAGCCTGAATCTATCCCCCTCTCTTTTGTCAAGTCTGAAACCCTAGTCAGCATGGGGGATACAGAAATTTGGGGGAAGGAGAATCTTCCCTGTTTTCCTCTTTTCAAAAGGATTCTCTAGTCAGAGAAGAGGGTCTCTGAACCATGATGACATCTGGGCCCTTCCTCCTGCTGTTGCAGGTTCTTAGATGGACCAGCACCCTGCTCTTTGCTTGGCCCCAGCAGGGCACTGGTCTTGGTGCAGGGGGATTTGCCTTGGGTCAGTCCTCCTTGAAGCTGGGTAAGAGAGCCGAGTCTGGGTGCCTGGCAGGGCCAGAGCTGCTGGAGTTGATTGAAGACTCAAGGGAGGGGAGGAGGAAGAAAAAGGAACCTTCCCTGTGTCCAAGTTTCTCTGGCTGAGGCCCTAATGAGGGAGTTTCCCATCTCTACTTCATGGCTAGTTTCCTGTAAGGTGCAAGATGGTCCCTAAGGTGCCACAGTCTTCTCTCTACAGCCACAAACATACCCCATGGAGAGCAACTGATGATAAAAATGACCACTGAGACAAAAAGCAGAGCAGGATGCTCCCAGCTCTTAGCTTGTTCACAGTAAAGCAAAATAGATCCAGCAGATGCTCCCAGTGTGGAGTCCAAATATTTGCAGCGCTACTTGCCCTCCTTTCCCCTCTTTCTCCTTGACGCACACAGCACGCTGGCCCCTAATCTGAGTGCTATGCCAGAGACAAGGGAGCAAGAGACCTAGGTTCATCCACCCTCACCCGCACCCACACGCTCCATGCCTTGCCCATTGCTCCCTGTTCCCCTTGCTGTAGACACAGGGTATCAAACAGGAAAGCATTCAGGGAACCGTTCCCACAGCCTGAGCCGGCAGCCGGGGGGAAGAACAACACGACCTCACTCTTCCTGCCCAAAATGAAACAGGAAAGCAGCTCCCGGGCCCTGGGGGGGTGGGGGAAACTGGGCTGGGACACGAAGGCGAGATGACGAGGCTCCCATGTGGGGGACAGGTAGGACACCCGCGGGCCTGCACGTCCACACCACTAGGCTGTGCTGGGCCGCACGGGGTTTCAGGTCCTCAAAGAGCCCTGAAGGGGAGCCGGCTGGCTAAATCCACTCACCGGCTCTGAAATCCTAGACAGGGAGCTGGGAGAGCCCACCACCCAAGCTTTCTGGGGAAAGAGGAGATCCCTTCATGGACTTCATCTGGGCAGCTCCAACCTGTAGCTCATGCCAGGCTCCAACTCTAGTGACATGGCAGAAGCTGGGCCAGGCATTTGGGGTGTGAACAGACCATAGTGGAAGCACTCCTTGCCCCGGGATTTCCAGGAGGTCACTGAGGGTCCAGCCTCTTCTCATAGGCAAGGTATCCAAGACTTTCCTGACAGAGTGTTCAGGTGTACAGGAGTGGTCCCAGACCTGATAGAATGAGGCCGGATGATGGTTCTAGACTCACCGTGAAGTGCTCTTCATAGGTTAGCAAATATATGTTTAATCTGCAAGGGTATTTCACAAGAGAATTCAGAGCAAAGCAGTTGTGTAGCTTGGAGGCAGTGCCCTATTTAAAGGCCAAGTCTGACCCCATGGTGAACTCTGAGGGCAGGTGCTTTTCTAGGGCCTACTGGCCAGTAACCATCTGAATATCACTGTGGGGAGGTGAGGCAGGGAGAGACTGTAAAGAAGAGAGGGATGCCTTTATCCTGCTTTCTCAGCTACGTTCCCCTGTCCTGCCTCATGGCCTCGTCAGTCTGGTCGGGGGTACCGACAAAGGACAGTGGCTCCTACTTCCCCCATCCAGGACTAGGTAAGGCCACTAGACTGAACGCGGGTAGTGCGGACGCTCTATCTCTGACAAGGCCCCACAGGGCTCTCCCCTTGCTGCTGCTCTCCCCGCCTCTCCCCGTGGGTCCGCAGGATGGCGACCCAGCCCTCCGCCCCACGTGGCCCGCTGAATTCCGGGAAGGGATGGAAGTGATTCACTCAGGGAACTGTGAGTGTCCCTTCCCGGGGAAAGGATGCGCCTGGGAGGTCCCATCGGCCTTCCCCAGGCGGCCGCGCCCTCCCTCGCGCCCAGGGGGCACGGCACGGCCGGATCCAGCGGGCCTGGAGCCCCGAGCGGCAGCGGAAGAGGCAGGTGCGGCGCTCTGGCCCGGGTCAGCCCTCCACCTGCCGCCGCCCCGGGCGCCCCGGAGGTCCACGGCTCCCCGCCCCCCGCCCCCCGCGCTCTTTGTTGCAGCCCGACTTCCTGTTTGCGGCCTCCCGACCCCTGCTCACTTCCCGGGCCGGGAAGCCGCCGAAGGCCGCGAGTTTCTCGGAGACTCCTCGCCCGCTCGGCTCCGCCTCCCGCAGCCCTGAATCCCGTC